CAAAATTGTCATTTTTACTTAATATTAATTTGATGGAAAATTTAATTGTTTGCAAAAATTATTTGCTATTTTTACTCATTATAAGATCTTAAATAAAAAGGTGGGGAGAGGTACTTATTTAAAAAGATCTTATTTGGTCTCCAGCAACTTATTTTAAAAAAAAATAAGATCTTTTTTTAAAAAAATACCAAACACTTTGGAAGAGCTTATAAGCTCTAAAACATCTTATAAGCTCCTTTTAACATCTTATAAGCTTAGCCAAACACCCTCTTAATGGCATCATTGATTTACAGTAAATTTACTGAAGCCCGTTATGGGTGATAAAGAAAAAACTTCGTCAAACTTCAACATAAACTGAGATAAAATAAATATACAACCCATATTACATAATAAATATAAAGTTAAATTAATAAATATCAAAATGAAAAAAAAAGTTTATGGATGGGAATTATAATCAATATACATAGCAAAATATCCAAATGAATTAAAACTTCAATTTTATCGTTTAAATTGAACTTTACTTTGTATTAATTTTCCTTCAATTCCGTGCATCGCACGGGCCAAAAATCTAGTAATAATAAAAAAAATATTTGCCATTTTCATTTTCACATAGAATTTTTCTTGACCTAATTCTTTTTTATGGGCTAATTACCCGGCTAGCCATGATAAACTAGATAATTGAACTTTATTTAATGTTTGTTATGCGCCTAATAATTTACTGGCCCATAAAGATTATATTTGAATAAAAAATATCATTTTGTTTTATAAATATTGAATCAATCGATTCATTCATAAAATTAACATATGCGGATTTCTAATTTTATCTCTCTTAATTGACGATAAATTTAAATAAAAATCTTTGTTTTGTTTTTTCCTTATCTTATGAACAAATGAATCAGGAAATAAAGGAAGTTGCATTGCAAAAATTCGGAAAAGGTATTCTTGGTTTTGTTTCAATTTATTTTTTATGTTATGCTAGTTTTTAATATTTGGCAGATTAAATTCGGAAAATTGTTTTTTCTTCTTCTAATTCAATTTTTTAGCAAAATAATTCAACTAAAATCTAATAACTCGCAACTGAAGTGTCATGTGCTAGAATTTACACCATATATAGTGTTCATATTAAACTCCAATTGAAGCATAGTTTATTGTTTACACTTTTTTCTAAGTGTTAATTATTTATGAATTCAATTGTTACACCGACGATTAGTTTCTTGATTGGAGGTGATCCATTTTTTTTTATGTTGAACGTGGAGGCAAAATTGAAGGATTAGTGATTACTCCTCTTTTTCAATGATTTTTTTTATATCCAAATTGTTAAAAGGCTATTGAATAATATATTCTAGAATGAGGGATATTTTCAAGCATGAAATTAATAAGGTTGATTCTTGAGTGTTTTGATATTTCTTTAAATTTTGTTGATTTGCATTAAGTAAATTTTTTTTTTATTTAGATTTTGCAATTGCAGTTTAATGAAAGCCATTGATCCTCTCTTTGAAGGTGTCAAAAATTTGATTGAAGTTACATGTGAAACAGTGTTCAACAAACTGTATACATTACTATATATTACTATACATATAGTAGTAACATGTAGTTACATATGCATATATTTGTGTATTTTCGATTTGTATTTTATTGGTTTTGAGGTGATTTATAATAAAAATATTGACATTTGTAAATTTGTATTGGGGTTTATGAATTTATTATGTATAAACCAGTATTCGTGTGTGTATACAATTGATCAACTAAAAATCTGGGGAAAAAAAACGAACATAACTACGAATTACTATAGGTACTACAATTACATGTAGTTATTTTAAGTACAGTAAACATATTGTTTTGAAAATTAAAAAAAAAAATTAAAATTTTAAAATAAAATTAAAAATAAAAAAAATAAAAAAATAAATATATTTATAATTTAACAAACAAATTTATTATTATTTAAAAAAATAATAATGAGTAGATAAATCAGCGAATATGATAAATGCAGGACCAGAAATGTTGAATGCAATTTGGCCGAAAATTGCATATAAGGGTAGTATAGTATTTTAGCTTCTTCAAGGTATGTCAAAGGATGATTTGGGTTTGAGTTTATCCCTAATTTATTTGGTGGCTGGGGATATATACGTAAAACCCCATATAAATAATCAATTAATCACGTGCATGAAAATATGCAAATCATAATAAACTAATAAAATTAACCATTAAAATAAATCACGTGTACGAATAATCAGGGGCTAACCCAGGGAGGTTTTCTGGGGGGCAAAAATATAGGGGTAATTTAAGAGATGATTTTTTTTTTGTTTTTAGGGACTAAAGTGTACAAAATTAAAAGTTTGGAGGGGCGAAAGTGTATTAACTAATACATAAATACCAAAAAAAAAGAAAAAAAATAACTTAAAGAAAAAAATCTTGGGGGGCGGGGGCCACCCAGCCATAGGCATGGGTACGCCCCTGCGAATAATATAATATAAAGCAAAATTGAACCAACATCCATTATATTCTTGTGGAAAAATCAAAGGAAAAAGGAATAAAACAGCGTATTAATTACTTGAATAATTTTTATATGTATTAATCACTGCGAATCCATTTTAATGGACTGCAATTTGCGGGTCATGAGCAAACCATCGTCCAGGATTTCTTCATATGGGATCGGCGGCGGCGGTAACGCTAACATAGAAAACGAACAAACAAACGAACGGTTAACGGCCGACGCAAAATAATAAATAAGTAAACATATATAATTTTAAAGAATTAACCCTTTAAATAAGGGTAAATTATAACCATCCATAAGATATGGTTAGATTATGAAAAAAATCCCTTATATTTGAATAATTACATCTACCCCTCAACTATGAATCTTCTTACATCTCCACCGTTATGGTGTCAAATTCAACATAATCATCTAGATTCCCTGGAATGTTCTCTAGTTTGTACTCGTTTTGTACAAAAATACAGTTTCTAATGCACCACAATCTGATATATACAAGCCAACAAATACATTTTATGATCATCTAGCTTCAAAATGTGTTGCTCGAATGGGATAAAAAGGTCCAGCATTGAGAATTCCAAATAATCTAGAAGATTCCACTTAATTTGAAACTACAAGGGTGGACGTGTAAGAATGTTTATAGTTGAGGGGTTGTTGTAATTACCCAAACAAAAGGGAGTTTTCGTAATTTGACGATACCTCAGGAGTGGTTGTAATTTACCCTTTAAATAAAATTAAAAAAAAAACCTTTTTTTTTACCGATACTAGTAATAGTAGTAGTAGTAGTAGTAGTAGTAGTAGTAGTAGTAGTAGTAATCCCCTCATCCTCGTGTTGATGATGTTGTTGTTCGATACGAGCCCTTGTTTGTTCGAACTTAACCCTCCATTCTTCAAGATTAACCCTAAATTCTTCGAGATTAATTTGTTCAACCTTGGTCTTTGCTTCGGGGGTGCAATCCCACTAGGCCAAATTTCATTTCAGGCGACTTTTTTTTCGCGACGATTACGGAAACGTCGCACACATTGCGACGTTTTATTAACAAATCGTCGCAATAAATACATAATTTAAATTCAAATTTTAAAAAATGAGTAAATATTGCGACGATACTTAGTTCCGTCGCGGAAATCATCGCAAACTTTGAAACGAAAAGTTCCCTAAAGAAAAGGCGACGAATCTGGTATATAAGTCGCACATTTGCGACGTTTATGGACTCTTTCGACGCAATAAAAAAAAAGAAAAAAATATTTTTTTTACATAATAATAATTGCGACGATAATGGTGAAACGACGCAATATGATTGAAAAATTAGCGACTTTTGTATACTATTGCGTCGCAATGGTTTTCGATTTAAAAAATTTCTAAATTTTTTTTGCGACGTAAATATAGAAACGTCGCAATATAATTGCGTTTTTTTTCACAATATTTTTTTTTGCGACATTTGATAATGTAAAGTCGCTAATGTTATTTCCATAAGTTTGTTGTTGCGACTAAAATATAATAAAACGTCGCAATGTTACTTTCTATCCTGCGACTAATAGATAAAAACGTCGCAACACCAAATTAAATCCCCTTTTCCACACCCTAATTTCAGAACATTTCAGCCACAGCCCCTCCTCCGCCAAAATCGCAGCTGCTCCCACACCCCTCCTCCGCCGAAGCAAATCATTCCGCCGTCGCCGTCGCAGTCGCCGTCGCCGTCGCTGGTGACGGCATAAGGCCTTGTGCAGCGAAGTAACGAGATAGCCACCGCCGCTTCCTCCGCCCTTCCTCCGTCTTTCACACCGCCGCCGCCGACGCTTCTATATTCTCCACCGTGCCGACGACATCACCGAAGTCTTTCTTCTCCCGCTCCTCCTCCCTGTTTCACACCGCCGTTGCCGCTCCTGCTCCCGCCGTTGCCGCTCCCGCTCCCACCGTTGCCGCTCCCGCTCCCGCCGTTGCCGTTGCCGCTGCCGCTGCCCCTGCCACCACTGCACTCTGCCGTTCTTCGATTCACTTCGCCGTCGAGGGTAAGTTTTTGAATATTTGAGAATCATTTTTTTTGTTATCAATTATGTTTTCTCGTATTTGAAAATATATAAGGTGCATAATTTGAATGTAATTGATTGCTCTCATCAATAGGCCATCAAATTATGCTTTCAATTGATGAATTAACTCAGAATAAGTGCGTAATGTTTGAGGATCGAAAATATAATTTTCACTGTTGTGGGTAGGATGGAAATCTGAGAGATGGAATAAGCACTTTTTATATATCTACTCTTTTTTTTTTTTTTTTTTTTGAAATGAAAATTTTCATTCTAAAAAATAATAAATCAAAATTTCAAAAATTGAAATAAAAAACTTATTCGAATATCGGAAAATTTAGACCAGATCCATTCGGAATTCGTTATTTCCATTTTTTTCCAGCTAGACCTCCGAAATTAAATTATTCCGAGAGAGACGAATATATAAATTTAACTCTCTCGTTACCTTCTATGTTCCTCAGTTGCGAATATATTCTAAGTAAAAATGCCGAAGGATAGGAGTTGGGTTTTGCTAGATGATCATCGATTAGACGCATTTCAAAATGGTTGTTTAGAATTTCTCGACTTTGCTTTCGATAAGGCGGCCATTGATGACAAAATAAGGTGTCCATGTAGAGACTGCAAATGTCGAAAAGTCGGGGATCGTGAATTCGTTCATGAGCATTTACTTTGGAGGGGCTGGGATAAATCCTATGGCGAAGGACAATGGGTAATGCATTTGGAGTCTGATGAAGAGTACCGTAGGGTTCTTTGCGAAGTAAACGAAGAAGAAGCTAGTGAAGTAGGGGGGTTTGGTGTTGTACATTTGAATGAAGACGATAACATGAGTGCCGATATTAATCCCACAATGGATGAATTATTGCAAGCATGTCTCAATCCTGCTCAACATGCCCTAGGTGAAGAGTCCAGCTCAGAAAGTGATGATCTCCGCAAACTCATTGAAGAGTGGTGTATCCCTTTATATGAAGGTTGCACTGATAACTCTAAACTTTCCTTCATGATGGACTTTTATAAAATCAAATCTCGGGGTAAAATGAGCGATAAGACATTTTCAGAAACCCTCCAACTTATGAAAAAGATTCCTTCCCTAAATATTCCCGATTCTTTCTATGAAGTTAAGAAGCTTATCGGGAAGTTGGGATGCGGTTATGTCAAAATTGATGCATGTGAGAATGATTGTATGTTGTTCTGGAAGAATGACAAAGACTTGGACAAATGCAAAGTGTGTGATGCTTCAAGATGGAAGAGTCCCACAGAAAATGAACCAAGTTGTTCAACCTCTCATCGCAAAAGAGTACCTAAGAAAGTCCTTCGACACTTCCCGTTAATTCCTAGACTCAGACGTTTGTTCATATGCGAGAAAACATCAATTCATATGAGATGGCATGCTGAGTCTCGGTGTAACGATGGTTGTTTAAGGCACCCTGCCGATTCTGATGGGTGGAAAGAATTTGATAAGAAGCATGATTCATTTGCTTCAGACCCCCGAAACGTAAGGCTCGGCTTGGCTACAGATGGATTCAATCCATTTGGATCATTGAGTAGTAAGTATAGCACGTGGCCGGTTATTCTAATGACTTACAACTTACCACCAAATATGTGCATGCAACGTTCTTTTATGATGATGTCTTTGCTTATTTCTGGTCCTAAAGGACCGAAAAATGGCATCGATGTTTATTTGCAGCCACTGATAGAGGAGCTGAAAGAGTTGTGGGTTACTGGAATTAGAACCTTTGATGCATCCACCAAACAGTACTTCAATATGCGAGCGGCCATTTTGTGGACTATCAATGATTTTCCAGCATTAGGTAACTTATCAGGGTGGAGCACAAGTGGCTATCTTGCTTGCCCGAGTTGTGGTGAAAATACAGTATCTGAGCGGCTGTACAAATCGAACAAACAGTGTTTTATGGGCCACAGTCGTTTTCCCGAGGAAGGGGCACCACCTCCACCTTCGGGCGACGAGGTTTTATCACAGACAGATGGAATCAATGTTATATTTGGGTCAGGTCAAGCAGTTCATAAAGATTCTCAATGGCGGAAGAGAAGTATTTTCTTTGAATTGCCTTATTGGAAGGATAATCTGATACGTCACAATTTGGATGTCATGCACATCGAGAAAAATATTGGTGAGTTGTTACTTAAGTGGCTGTTAAATATTCTTAACAAAAGCGATGGTTTCGACAATGCCAAAGAGGATATCGAAAAAATAAAAAAACCACCGCCGGGAAAATCTGGTCCACGATTTCCCAATTTAGTTCCTAAATTGGGGAAATATCACAAGATGTCTGCTCAATCTAAGAAAGCTGTGTGTGATGTTATAGCAAGCATTAAGGTCCCTAATGGTTATGCATCAAATATAGCCCGTTGCGTTAATGAAGATAAAATAGGGGGGTTGAAGAGTCATGACTATCATGTTTTAATGCAACAATTGCTTCCCTTAGCGGTTCGCAATGTGGGGTTACCGACAAAGATGGCTTCCGCCATTATCCGATTGTGTAATTTTTTTCGAGGATTGTGTTCCAAAACCAGCAAGTTTGATGACTTTCAAAAGCTGCACTCTGATATTGTAAAAATACTATGCGACTTGGAGAAGTTTTTTCCTCCGGCTTTCTTTGTTGTTATGATGCATTTGCCGGTTCATCTTGCTCATGAAGTTATGGTTGCCGGACCAGTGCATTATCGATGGATGTATCCGATAGAAAGGTAATTTTTATTTTTTTAAATAATGTCAAATGTGCAATAATTTAAATTAATAACATTGTATTTATCGAATAATTTTTGTAACTTCAGATATTTGGGTCACTTAAAGTCGTTTGTTCGAAACAAAAAATGTCCCGAGGGTTCAATTGCTGAGTGCTACGTAACTGAGGAATGCTTAAATTTTTGCTCGCTATACATGGAAACATTCTCCCCGAATGTTGGTGATGAGGAGAAATGTGCATTTTCAATATTTTCTGAAGTGGCAAATGATAATGAAGTACGACCTAAGTATAGGTTTCTCAGTTATGATGAAATGGAGAAGGCACACAATTATTGTCTTTTCAACTGTGACGAAATTCAACCGTACATTGAGTAAGTTCTTTTTATTGTTGGAATTTTTTTATTTTATTTTTATAACTCAGTGGCCTATTTATAACAAAAACCATATACTTTCTAGGGAGCATCTTGAGACTATTAAGGATAAGATTCCAACAACTGACCATGCTTATCATTGGCGTATTCAAAAGTTGCAAGACAAAGAATTTCGCCCTTGGTTCCAATCCTATGTAAGTATACTTTGTATTAGATTGAATACTTTGTATACTTTATAATTTGCTTTTTGAGATAATAACCTGAAGATGGTAACTAACCAAACAGGTTCATGGCAAAGTTGGACTAGATGAAAATATCAGAGCCTTAGCTCAGTCTCCCAGTTTTAGAGTGAAGACTTTTAAAAGATTTGATGTGCAAGGGTTCACTTTTCGCACTAAAACGTCAGAAGAGTCTAATTCTACTCAAAACAGTGGTGTTTTTGTCAACGCGAAGACGACTAGCTTTGCAAGTGCTAAGGATAAATCTCCGAGAGAGGAAGATTTAGGTTACTATGGAGTAATCAAGGATATCATTGAACTTTCGTTCGACCTAGATACCAAGAAAATAGTTCTCTTCGAGTGTGACTGGGCTAATAATCGCACAAACAAGACAGACAATCTAGGTTTTACACTAGTTAATTTAACTAGGCCAGATGCCAAAGCAAGTCCTTTTGTTATGCCATCTCAAGTATTGCAAGCATTCTACGTCGAGGATCCACGTGATAAGCCATGGGTGGTCCCTATTGTAATTAAACCAAGGGACAATTTTGCTTTAAAACCAGATGATCCTAGTGCTGAACTGGAACAAGAGTGTTATGATATACTTCCGATAAATAGTGGCGTAGATACTATAGATGTTATTGATGGGTATTTTTTTATTTATATTTATGCATGTTTAATTAATTTTGAATTTAATTCATTTATATGCATATTTAATTAATGTAGATCTTATTTTCTTTTTAATTTATATTTATGCATGTTTAATTAATATAGATATTATTTCCTTTTCAGGTGATCTAGGTGTTTGCAATGTCGGAGAAAGGTAAGGGCAGGGCTACTATTATGGAGTTTGACGATAAGGGTATTCCGGTTGAGCCCGGGAGGACAGATTTGGTGAATGATATTGCTAAACAGGTTACACATTGTGACCTCTTTAATCCGTGTATTTCATGGCAAATAAATATTGTCGATGCGTATGAACACATGCCGAGGCCGTAAATGCTCACTTGGTTGCCGTAACGATACTTTAGGCTCTGCATTGGGATACCGGCCATGATTTCATTGGCGAAAACACGCAATTGACTTGAGTATTCTCTCATTGAAGAGGCAGTCATCCACATCATCTTCTGCATATGTATAACATGATGCTCTAGTTGGGCCCACAAATCTCCATGCGGGGGATCGTCCGGTATTTCGATTTAATTCATGAGTCAATGTGAAGATCGGGTGGTACATTGTCTCAGAGAGATCGATACATTCACATTCACCCAACTTACGTCTCTTAGATTCTACTATGTTTTCGAACTCCTTTACGTAGCCTTCTAGTAACGACCTTGCCACCATTTTTCCTGCGAATTTGCGTTCGTTAAACTTTTCAATATGTACTCCGAAAAATAACCTCACAACCCAATCTTAAGACAAATTCAATTTTACATAAGTTTATCGATTTATTACGATTTGCTGTGACTTTTGTAAGATTCAATCTATTTTGTACAATTATTCAAAATAAATTGAAAATATGGTCCCAAACATCATATGTTTCTCTATCTCTTAAACACCACAAAATTCGATTCGAGAAATATCAGATTAAAACGTAATTCCACATCCAAAAAGCCACAAAAGAAATACATAAAAGAAAAACCTCAAACACATACATAAGAAAATAAAGATAAAGCATCACCTTATTCAATTATCTTTCGGTTAGAGATGACGAAAAAATATAAAGAATTCACAGAGAGAGAGAGAGAGAGAGAGAGAGAGAGAGAGAGAGGCGTGAAAATAAAGTGAACAAAGAAGAGAGCAATAAATAAGTAATATTCATTCATCGAATAGGGCCTTTTAACTTGAGTCCCAAGATTCAAGAAGTTCCAAAATAACAAAATAACTCGATATTTCAAAATTAGAAAATTTACAATGAACATAGTAGGAAGTACTCACATTATTCAATTATACTTCGGACAGAGGAAAAAAAATAATCCACAATCTTGAGGTGTGAGTAAATAACTTACACACTCTTTGTAATCTCAGCAATTATAAATTCCAGGTTAATTACAAATATCATCTTTGTTATCTCTAATTGTCAAATACCTCCCTGTCAAAACAATTTCACCAAAACCCCCTGTGTTAACAAATTCGAAGCTCACTACACCGACTGTGCTTTTAGAAGTTGACTGCAAGTGAAATAACAAAAATACCCTAGGTTTTTTTTTTCAGCAATTAGTATGTATTTCTATTTTTAATTTTTTTAAACTCTGTAATTAGTATAATTTCACCAAAAATTGGTGGTTCTAGACGGTGGCGGTGTCGAGTGAGAGAAACTTGAAGGAGTGGGTGGCGGTGGTGCGAGACGCCGGCGGTGCCCGGCGGACTGGAACGAGGAAGAAGACGTGAGATAGCTCTTCTTTTTCTATGTTTTTTCTTTCAGTATTTTACAATTTTGGAAATTATAATTTGGCCCTCTGAATGTAGGTTATTCATAATTTAACCAATCATATATTTTTTTTTAATTTATAAAGGGGTATTTATGACATTTCACCGTAAAAATACCATAAAAATCGCATAACCGGCGAGTGAGTGACACGATTTGCCTCCAGGGGTCTCGATGCCCTGACTTTGTTAACACAAGGGGGTGTTGGTGATTTTCTTTTTTCTTTTTTTTTTTTTTTTTGACATGGTGATATTTGACAATTAAAGATAATACATGGGTTGTATTTGCAATTTACTCTATAAATACCTCTCAATTATTGTTCCGTTTGCCTCCTCACAGCGCTATAAAGAGCTATAACTAACGAAATCTTCATGAACAATTGTTGCCTCCTCATAGCGTTATAACTAACGGAATCTTCATGATTCCATGGAATATTCGTTTTTAAATTCATGATATACCCACGTACATGTGTCCCAGTAGACATCTAAGGGGTAATTGTAATATATTTGTTTTTCTTCTTAAATTAAAAAAAATCAAAAGTTTGAATGTGTTTACAATTTAATTAAATTTTGCACAAATTAACACAACTAAATTATCTTAGTGAAATAAACTTCAACCCTTTTTTAATTTTTTTTCTTTTACTGAAATAAATCTTTTTTTATTGAATGTAATATTCCATTTTTTAATTAGGGTTATTTTACATACTCATAGTCACCAAATAAACTAGGGATAAACCAAAACCCAAATCATCCTGTGACATATCCTCTGGAGAAGCGAAAGTACTATACTACCCTTATATGCAATTTTCGGCCTAACTGCATTCAACATTTCTAGTCATGTATTTATCATTTTCGCTGATTTATTTATTTATTATTATCATAATTATTTTTTCTTTTTCTTTTTTTTAATAATAAACATGTTTGTTAAATTTATATATATATATATATATATATATATATATATATATATATATATATATATATATATTAATTTTTTAAATTTTTAAATTTTTTTTAGTACCGATACTAGTAGCATTAGTAGTAGTCGTCCCGTCATCCTCGTGTTGATGATGTTGTTGTTCGATACGAGCCCTTGTTTGTTCGAACTTAACCCTACATTCTTCAAGATTAACCCTAATTTCTTCGAGATTAATTTGTTCAACATTGGTCTTTGCTTCGGGGGTGCAATCCGTATCTAAGTTCCCGTAAATAAATCTTGTCGATGCGTATGAACACATTTCGAGACTGTAAATACTCACTTGGTTGCCGTAACGATACTTTAGGCTCCGCATTGGGATACCGGACATGATTTCATTGGCGAAAACACGCAATTGATTTGAGTATTCTCTCATTAAAGAGGCAGTGAGCCACATCATCTTCTGCATATGTACAACATGATGCTCTAGTTGGGCCCACAAATCTCCATGCGGAAGATCGTCCGGTATTTCGATTTCAATCAATGTGAAGATCGGGTGGTACGTTACCTAAGAGAGATCGATACATTCACCCAACTTATTTTTCTTAGATTCTACTATGTTTTCGAACTCCTTTACGTAGCCTTCTAGTAACGATCTTGCCACCATTTTTCCTGTGAATTTGCGTTCGTTAAAATTTTTCAAATTCACTTCGGAAGCAAAAAAGCTAAAGAAATTCGGATTATACCCAAAAAAAAAAGAGTAATAATAATAATAATAATAATAAATAAAGGAAAACAACAAACACAACGAGCACTGATTCACATCCAAAACGCCATAGAAGAAATACATAAGAAAAAACTAAAAGAATCGTATAATATGAATATAAAACGGCAGGAAATATTCACCTTATTCAATTATATTTTGGAGAAGCGTGCAAAAAAAAAAAAAAAAGAACAAAGATGAGTAATAAATAATATTCACCCTAATTTAAATTGAGTCCCAAGATTCAAGAAATTCCAAAATAATATAACTCGATAATTCATAATTAGGAAATTGACAATGATACAATATCTATGTATATAGTAGTCACCCTTATTTACATTCCTTCATCAAATACCTTACTGGACCAAGGGATGGGGGCCCTGGACGAGCAATTTTGCCTTTTTCCCTTCTGGTGCAAGTATATATATATATTGCACCTCAGGGGGCTTTGGGTAATTATGAATAGGTGGAGGTGGTTTTTGTAATTTAATCTAAGTATAGGTGGTTTTCGTAATTTACCCTTTAAATTATGTATAATAATAAAAAAAATAAATAGAAAAATACAATTTTTATTTCGACAAATTTTGACCCAATTCATTTTTATGGGCCGAAAATCATGGCCCAAAATAGTGATATAAAAATAGCCCACATGTATATACACAAACACCTAATTCATAACTCATCAAAAAAAAAAACACCTAATTCATAAATAAGAAACGCACACACACACACACACACACTCTCTCTCTTGTGTTCTTTGAACCCTAGATATTAGATCTGTAAGGCGTCTTAGTTTGAGTCATCTTTTGGTAAAGAAATTTTTAGATCTGTTCAACATGGATTTTCATTTCTTTACACTCCCCCCTTCAAAGAATGGCTCAACGTTTCCAAGATGGTAGAGTTTTTTCTCTTCTTTATATTTTATATTTTTTTTTATTTTTTTAAATTTATTTCCACAGATCTTTTAAATCAAACCTCGTCTTCCCTAATGATTATTTTGAGATCTTTAAAATGGTAGGTATTATCCATGCAAGGGGTCCGGGTCGGGTCGGTTCGGTCCTATTTACATCAGTTTTTGGAATGGGAACGGAAGGTGTCCTGGGTGGGTGGGTCTATCGTGTGCCTATTTTGGTTTGGGTCGGGTCTACTTTTGGATCGGATCTATTCGGGTCGGGTCAATTTTTTTTAGTTATGGGCCGCCCCGCCAGCCCCAATAATCCAAAACTATAAATTGGAAGCAGTTTTTCACTGAGTTCGAGTTCAACTTCTTCGGTTCACTGATTCTCTCACTCTCTCTCACAGGTACTCTCTCTCTCTCTCACAGGTATTCTCTACGATCAGAGTTTTTTTTGGAAATTTTTTCTTCTACATCAATTGTGTTTGCAATTTTCTCGGCAGATCTGTGAATTTACTATTTTTGGAAGTGATTTGGATTTTTTTATAGGTGTTTGTTTATGAATTGCAATCAAATCACGAGTATATTTTTTGTTTTCAGTGTTCAAGTAGTTTATTTTGGCTGAATCTAAATTCAGTTCTCAATCAGTCAATTATGTGGAAATAATGCCTTGTTGGATAAAATTATCAAAGTTATTCACGCAATTTAATCATGTTTTGAATTGATGGTACAGGCTTTGATGGCGTCGTCTGATTCAGACGACACAATGCGCTCGAGTTCCACCGGTTCAAACGAAACATTCATTCCCGATACTGATATGGAGCAGTCAGCCGAAAACGTTGAGGGTGTTGTCCCTGGTGATTCAGTCACTATTGTCCCGAAATCCCTTCATTCAGACGATACTATTGTGCCGGAAACCGTTTTCGAGTCGTCGGGCAGTGCAGAGCCGGTTAACTCGAATGCCACTGTTCCAGCAGAGACTGAAGTGATTCTCGATTCTCCAAACACTCTTCGTGCTCAGCCGACGCACCCCCCACAACATGCAGTCCCGTATGTTATGGATGATGTTGGTGACGTGAAAGTTGTCCTCAAAAGCTTGAAGGAGAAGTGCGATGTTATCACCAGCCAGCAGAAGGAAACTCAAGATGACGTTGCGACTATGCGCGGTCAGCTTGCGAATCTCTTGCGGGATTCAACTTCTCAGAACGATAAGCTGGACAAACTTCTGAAAATCCTCGATCGCGACAATTAGGTACGTATTTATCAGCAAGCAATCTTGATGATTCCACTTGAATCCATCAAAACATTCTCCAGCTGCATGTAATAATATAATCGACCAACCAATTATTAATAATAATAATTAATCAGATGATCATATGATATACTATCTAGTGTCTATGATTCGCACGGCCTTAACTACGTATAAAAACAGCTTTTGTTGTGAAAGAAGAGCTTCCTGCATAAACTTCCGAACAGTTTTCCATTCAAAATATGCAAAAATGAACTCATGATAGCTAACTACTTAAAAATTTTGTCGAACAGTTTTTCACCTAGTCAAGGACCATATATATCTTTCGTCTTGCTAGCTAGGACCTAATATTTGCAGGACGTTTTTCATTCATTCATTCTATTTGGAATTTTATGCACACAAATTACTGGAGTAGATCCTATATGATCATGCTATTAATTTTTGGGAGCCATGCATATACGTAGTTGGGAATTTTCCTGTTTATCTTTTCACTTTCGATTTCTTTCTCTAACTAATTAGCCCGGCGCTTATACACCATATTATATGTTGGTCAATTTTCAAATGTATATAATAATAGCTTCGACATTATACTAAATTCAAGAGAATAGTGAATGATCGATTGGTATTAAACTGTCGTTCTGGTTGGGGTGGATCCCGAGAATGAAAAACCACATAAATCAACATAGATAGAATCATGCTATTGTTGGGATTCATTACTATTGATATTATGATAGGTCAGGCCCCATTATCAATTACTCATATTTTTTTTTTTATATATATTGTTTTTGGAGGATTCTTGAACCGTGATTCTTGTTAGAATTTCGATATGATTTTTTTATTTCTACGATTACAATTTCTCTCTTTTGTCTTGGTGAATTTCATGATGTTTTATCGACCACATTGTTTATTTTATTTTTCCACTCTTTTATGTTTTGAAGGTGTTGCTGCTGTTGTGAGAAAGCTGCTGTCTGTTGCTGTTGGGAGTAAATCTAGGTGGTGGTGCTGTCTTTTTTTGAAATATAATTTGGTTATAAAACCATTGTTGATTTGAATCAGTTTTCCTCTTAATTGAGTTGGGAGCATTGTTGGTTATTGCTTTGTGTTGCAAGTTTGCAACTATACTCTGTTATGTCTGTAAGGTTTTACTTTGACCTAAATACCTGTTTTTTCTTCTTTTTTTTTTCCTGAAAAAAATTCTTGTTTGAAAAGTGGGACAAAAATGATACAGGGAATTGTGATGAGAAAAAGGGCCAATTACCAATGATACAGGGAATTCTGATGAGAAAAAGGGCCAATTACCTATTGGCAGGCCCGTCCCTACGATTTTCGGGCTCAATTGTTTTTTTTCATTTTCATAATAAAAAACGCAAACATAATTAAGTATTTTCGGTCTTTATTTAAAATAATATAAGTTTTAAGCATGATATTTTCATGTTGTAATGATAAACATGAAAATATATACATATATATTTTCTTTGTATGTACATACAAAATTCAAGATTTAAACGAAATATATTACAATTTGTCCCCAAGTAAATAATATGCGTACAAATACTGATAGTACAATTTGTCCCCAAGTAAATAATATGCTTACAATTACTGATACTATTAGAGCATGACTTTCGTCAACATTGACACCATATGGGAGTTTTTGCTAATATTTTTAATATGAGGATTTTTTCGCTTTCTCAATAAGAAACGTGCGCACAAGTTCAATGATGAAATGTACGAGTTACAAAATTAAACCTACTTTATATTTAGAGTATCTCGAAGAGTGTTATATAAACTCATATTTTACCCAATATGAACAACCAATAGCAAAAATATAAGCTCCAAGAGCAAAATGCATAAATAATAAATTGGCTATAAATTGTAAATTGTAACTTTGCCTTCTCAAATTTGAGAAACCAACAATTTAGCGAATCTAGGAAATATTAAAATAATAAAATATTGCACTTTATAATATATATATATATATATATATATATATATATATATATATATATATATTTATTTATTAATGTTTATTAATATATATCAATTAAGTTATTGAAATTTATTTTATCAAATTTAAAGTTGATTTTGTATACTTATTTATTAGTATTATTAGTTATTAGTATATTAACTAAAATAGAAGTGAAATAAATTTGTAAAACAAAAATTATTAAAGATTCAACATATAAATATATTGTTTAGAATAAAACACATTTTTATTAATATTTTATAATAATGGAATATCATGTAGAAACTATTTACTAAAAATAATTAAATATAATAATTGTGTAAAATATAAACAATGTTGTTGGAGTGCAGTATTAAAAGCGGAGTGCTAAAACATTGTTCATTAGTTATATTGGGGAATACGATGCTACACCTGGTGATTTTCACCGGGTAGCTCTTTTCTTGACATGTGTCCTTTTTTATTTATTTTATAATTATATTTCTAAAACCTCATGGGCCATAACTGAACCGGTAGTGGAAATCTTATCAATTAGGGTGTCTGGTTATATTCACCAGCTGTAGCATAGATATTTCCGATTATATTATAGATATAGACAACCGTTTTTAGACAAACTGTTGGAGATGGCCTTACAATGTAGAAGCACATTATACAAAATTAACAATTTCAAATCCATCACTCTGAATTATAATATCTGAATATTTTTTTGGTACAAAATATTGCAACTAAAAGTTGATAGATAGAAAGAAAACATGCAGTTAAATAGACTGACCCGACTAAAAGTTTACCAATACTCCATCGATCGATAGACGGCCCTCAATTGTTCGATGCTCTAGCCTTAAATAGTTCGTCCGTTTCTTTGAACTCAGCTTTCATCTGTTCGGATTTAGCCCTAAATTCTTGAGCCCTAGCCTTTGTTTTTTCCGAGTCGGCCCACTCGAGGTAGGTATTAGCAGTCGAGAGATAGCCGTGGGCCCTCACGATATACCCGTGACTATTATCATTATTATTATTATGATTAACGATGAGACGCTGTAGCTTTATGATCTGAATCTCTAGTTGTAAACTTGGTTGATTCTCTAACATATGCTGAGGTAGTTCAAGACTAGGCTTCCAATCGCGTGGGACCGGAATAGGGCGCACGATACCCTGCTTCATATCTATTGCCTTTTGATTTATTTCAGACCATGTCAACGGTGGCGGCACTGGCAGCGGCAGCCGGTTTAGTATGGCTAACATGGCGTATTCCAGTGCGTATTGTATTTCACGGCGGTGCTCATCTGACAACATTATTTTTTTTCCGAATTTTCTGTATATGTATATTCCAATATCAATAATAATAACAAAATAATTACCAAGGAACATAACGAGTTAATTACTAAGGCCGTGTTTGGTTTACGGAAAAAAAGTGTGTAAAAAGATGACAATATTAGCTATAATATTCTTATTTGGCTGGGGAATGTGCAAAACAATTTTAGGCGAAAAACTATTTTCCTCAAACGACGAAAAACTCGGCCGTTAAATCAAGGGTTTTTCATAACTAACTTTCTAAGAAACCAAACATGTTTTTAATTTCGAATTCTCCGATTTTCGTACTATCCAAACAAGTCAAAAGAAATTGAATCCGAGAAACATAAAGGTTACACCCAACCAAAACCTATATTATCTTCAAGTTATTTTTAAACCATACCCGGAAATCAAATTCAGTTTAATAAAAAATAATTATATGAACAGACTACCAATATAAAAACACCAAAGCAAAAGGGTATAGACAAATAATAATAGATTCAGTTAAATACCTGAAGAAGCTATTCCTCGCCAAAGATTAAAGCACGACAGATATATTATTGATGAAGCAGCGGTTTGCACGTTTAACCCTAATACGGTGTGGTCTTATGTAGAGAGATGGCTTACTTACACTTTGGGCCTAACCTTTAATACCGGATAATTATAATTTTGGTCCCTATATTATACATCAAAATCGTTTTTAGTCCTCATATTTTTTTGCGCTACGCAAGTGGTCCTCAAATTAAATGGTGAATACACAATTTTTTTATAGGGTGAGCTTAAATTTTTTTGAGTTCAGAGATAGCGCCCTCGAAATATTTTTTTGAGGACTTTTTTGTGACAAAATCAGAAAATAGGAAAATAAAAATATACATGTCGTGTAACAATGGAGGTATTTTAAAATATATTTTTCGTTTTTAGTAGATTTAATGGGATTTTGCTTTTTTAGGAAGAAATTGTAACAAATAAAATAAATTTGGGCCCAAATCGAAATAGAGGTAATTAAGAGAGTTGAAACAGCATAGTCACGTGACACGCACATGGCATTTTCTATCAAACTGACAGAAAATCAACCGACAAATTGAAAGTGTAAAAAAGTCATTAATTAGAGGACCTATCTCATGGCGGAAAAAAATATAAGGACTAAATTCGATTTTGATGAATAATGGGGACCAAAACTGTAGCTTTGGCCGAGAAGGGTGTTTTTGATGAAATATGAAAATGCAAGGATCTACGTGTGGAAATAATAAAACCCAGGCACTTAATTAGTTACACCAAATAGAAATTATTGATTTGAAATTAAAAAGGAAAAAGTATGCAAAATAAGAAATTATCATTATTATTATTAGAAACTTACTAGTTATTAGTTTTATGCTTAATCCACTTTGCATCCTTAAAATGTACCATTTTGGTACTTTGAACCATCGGAAATAATTTATGATACTTTACACCCTCAATACATATTTAATCATTCAAAGTACATCCTAATATATTTTTCGGCCATTTTTTTCGTCTTTAACTAATTTTTTTTATCGTCAACATGGTCATTTTTATTTATTTAATTCATTTTATCTTCAAGGTGCAAAGTGTTAATATATTTTCGAGCAAAATGACTTGTTGACAGTTCAAAAAATAGATTAACAATGGAAAAGGAGATTTCGTGTAAAGTAAAATAAAGCACAATGGGATTTTACGAAAGAAAAAAAAGGGGGGATTTGGCACCAGACTTTTCTTAACACAGAGGGGTTTTATGTTGTTTACCCAAATTTTGATATATTCCATGAACAAGTACTTTTGATTTTTTAGAGTATTTATATTGATGTTTAAGGTAGTGGTGGAAATCGGAACGGGTTTACTGATTTTCTTTGATTTCGATCCGATTTTGGAACAATGTTTTTCCTTGCCAAATTCCGAAAAACCCATTCCTATTTTTTCCGAAATTTTTAAATCGGGATTGGAATATATATATAGAATTCTGATTTCCGATTTCAATTTTCGAAAATATAATATTGAGTTTTTTTCAAAAATTACACTTACAACATCAATATGTTTATACATTTTATATTTAAGTTACTCAAAAAATTGAATTTTGCGATTTCCACCGATTTGGATCCGAAAATTTATAATTTTGGAATAAGTTTTTTTCATTTTAATTTCCAAAATTATGATTTCCGGTTTTTTTTTTTTTGGAATGCAATTACAATGAATTTTTCACTTCTGAAAAAAATCGATTTTTTTTTAAAGTGCTTATTCAGATGGGATCTGTCTGATTTTCGCCCCTAGTTTAACGTTTGCTATGTTCTTTTTCAATTTAAATTATGTATAATAATAAATAAAAAAATTTGCCATTTTCATTTTAACATAGAATTTTTCTTGGGGATTATTTTGTATAGACCCCCCTCATTTCAAAATTATATAGAACTAACTATCAAGTGGATTACACTCTAGGTGATACCCCCCTCATTTCGAAAATATTTTGACATACCCCCTGGACTACCCTGAAACTCCTATAATACCCTTCTAAAATTAGTTTTAACCCTAGCCACTCACGGTCTCTCTCTTCTTCTCCCAGATTCAAAATTCCGCCTCTACAAACCTCTCACCGGCGAAATTGCTTCCCGGAGCCATAACTCTCTCTCCGGTGGTCGGAATTCGATGGTTTAACTACCGTTGGATTCCTCTCGTCGAGCTCTTTCTTTTGGTGGTGATTTCATTCAGTTTCGAGCGCGGATCTGTTTCTGCAATTTTTTTTCATTCGAGAACGGTGGTCTTGCCGGAGCTTTATTTTGTGTTCCACCCGTCGAAATTTGACGGGTCATCCACCGTTGGATTCCTCTCGTCGGGATCTATATTTTGATGGTAATTTCGTTTATTTTTATCTTTTCAGATTTATTTCTATATTTTTTTGCATTTCCCAGCAATAACCTCTCTC